TTTTTGAGACAGAGTCTTGCTCTGTCGCCCAGGCTGGAGTGCAGTGGCATGATCTCTGCTCACTGCAAGCTCCGCCTCCCAGGTTCACCCCATTCTCCTGCCTCAGCCTCCCGAGTAGCTGGGACTACAGGCGCCCACCACCACGCCTGGCTCATTTTTTTGTGTTTTTAGTAGAGACGGGGTTTCACTGTGTCAGCCAGGATGGTCTTGATCTCCTGACCTTGTGATCTTCCCGTCTTGGCCTCCCATAGTGCGGGATTACAGGCGTGAGCCACCGCGCCTGGCCATACTTCTTTTTTTTTCGTTTTTTGTAGACAGAATCTTGCTTTCTCACCCAGGCTAGAGTACATTGGTGCAATCACAGCTTATTGTAGCCTCGAACTCCTGGGCTCATATGATTCTCTTGCTTCGGCCTCCTGAGTGTCCAGGAATACAGGCAAGCACCATCACACCTAGCTAATTTATAAATTTTTTTGTGGAGATAGTGTCTCACTATTTTGCGCAGTCTGGTTTCCAAAACTCAGGCAATCCTCTCACCTCAGCTCCTCAAAATGTGGGGATTACAGGCATAAGTCACTGAACACAGCCCCAAATTTAAGGGATTGAATTCGTTGATTCATTTTTCTCTCAATTTTTAAATACTACGATTTTATTTTTTTCCTTTCTTTTTTTTGAGACGGAATCTTGCTCTTTTTGCCCAGGCTGGAGTGCAGTGCCGCTGTCTTGGCTCACTGCAACCTCCGCCTCCCAGGTTCAAGCAATTCTCATGCCTCAGCCTCCCTGAGTAGTTGGAATTACAGGTGCATGCCACCACGCCCAAGTAATTTTTGTATTTTTAGCAGTTAGGGTTTCACCATGTTGGCCAAGCTTGTCTCGAACTCCTGACCTCAAGTGATCTGCCCACCTTGGCCTCCGAAAGTGCCGGGATTACAGGCATGAACCCAGCCTCTTTTTTTTTTTTTTTTTTTTTTTGAGATGGAGTTTTGCTCTTGTTGCCTGGGCTGAAGTGCAATGGTGCAGTCTTGGCTCACTGCAACCTCTGTCTCCTGGGTTCAAGCGATTCTCCTGCCTTAGCCTCCCGTGTAGCTGGAATTATAGGCGCCTGTCATCATGCCTGGCTAATTTTTGTATTTTTTTTTTAGTAGAGATGGGGTTTCACCCTGTTGGCCAGGTTGGTCTCGAACTCCTGACCTCAGTCAGTCCTCCTGCCTTGGCCTCCCAAAGTGCTGGAATTATAGGCGTGAGCCACCACGCCCGGCCAGTACTATGAATTTCACTAATAATTTATAACACATTTATTATGCTGTCCCTGGCATATTGAGTCCTGTTAACTTGTATAAAAACCTTTACAAAATAGTCATCAATAATATGTAACTAATGGGCATGGTTGTGTTACAAATGCAACTTCATTTACAGCAACAAGCAGCAGGCTGGCTCTGGTCTAAGGTCTGTAATTTGCTAACTGACTTAGGTCATTAAAGTCTAATAAGACAGGCTGAGCACAGTGGTTTATGCCTCTAACCTCAGCACTTTGGGATGTTGGGATGGAAGGATTGCCTGAGCCGAAGAGTTAGAGACCAACCTGGGTACCATAGCAAGACCCTGTCTCTACAAAAAGTGAAAAACATTAACTGGGTGTGGCAGCGTGTGCCTGTATTCCCAGCTACATGAGAGGCTGAGGTGGAAGATTTGCTTGAGCCCAGGAGTTTGAGGCTGTAGTGAGCCATGATCATGCCACTGCGCTCCATCCTGGGCAACAGAATGAGACTCTGTCTCAAAAAAAGATAGAAAAAGGCTGAGTGTGGTGACTGACGCCTGTAATCCAAACACTTTGGGAAGCCCAGGTGGGCGGATCACCTGAGGTCGGGAGTTTGAGACCAGCCTGACCAACATGGTGAAATCTCGTCTCTACTCAAAATATAAAAATTAACCGGGACTTGGTGGCGCATGCTTGTAATCCCAGCTACACGGGAAGCTGAGGCAGGAGAATGGCTTGAACCCAGGAGACGGAGGTTGCAGTGAGCTGAGATAGTGCCACCGCACTCCAGCATGGGTGGCAGAGTGAGAGTCTGTCTTAAAAAAACAGCCTAGTAATGCAACCCGATCAGGACAGTTGCCCCCACGAAGAGGTGAGTAGTCCATACAGTACTAGACTAGGAATCAGAAGATTAATTCCTTTTTTTTTTTTTTTGAGAAGGAGTCTGGCTCTGTCGCCCAGGCTGGAGTGCAGTGGCGCGATCTCGGCTCACTGCAAGCTCCGCCTCCCAGGTTCCCACCATTCTCCTGCCTCAGCCTCTGCAAGTAGCTGGGACTGAAAGTGACCGCCACCACGCCTGACTTATTTTTCGTATTTTTAGTAGAGATGGGGTTTCACTGTGTTAGCCAGGATGGTCTTGATCTCCTGACCTCGTGATCCGCCCATCTCGGCCTCCCCAAGTGCTGGGATTACAGGTGTGAGCCGCCATGCCCGGCCTTTTTTTTTTTTTTTTTTTTGAGAAGGAGTCTTGCTTTGTTACCCAGGCTGGAATGCAGTGGCACCATCTTAGCTCACTGCAACCTCCAGCTCCTGGGTTCAAGTGATTCTCCCGCCTCAACCTCCCAAGTAGCTGGGATTATAGGCACGTGCCACCCATGCCCAACTAATTTTTGTATTTTTTTTTTGGTCGAAATGGGGTTTCACCATGTTGGGCAGGCTGGTGTTGAACTCATGACCTCAAGTGACCCGCCCTCGGCCTCCCAAAGTGCTGAGATTACAGGCATCTGCCACCGCGCCCAGCCACAGAAGATTAATTCAAATGTTAGCTCCGTTATTTATTATTAGGAAGGGCTAATTATTCAACTACTCTTAGTTTCAGTTTCTTCATCTATAAAATTCAAGGGTTTTTTCTAGACAGTCTATGGTCAACTCCAAAATTATATTAGGATTGAGGCATTGTTACTTCAGCATTCTTTTTTTTTCTTGTTTTTAATTTTTTTTCGTCTTATGTAGGTGCCTTTTACCTTGTATTTGAGTATATGGACCATGACTTAATGGGACTGCTAGAATCTGGTTTGGTGCACTTTTCTGAAGACCATATCAAGTCGTTCATGAAACAGCTAATGGAAGGATTGGATTACTGTCACAAAAAGAATTTCCTGCATCGGGATATTAAGTGTTCTAACATTTTGCTGAATAACAGGTAACATAGTAACCAAATAAGATTAATTTCTTTCCTCTTCTCCTCTGACCTTTTTAGTTTCAAATGGTTAATTGGTATTATAATTAGACCTAATAGTGCAGTATTCGCACACACATTGCGTTTTTAGTGATATTCCCTATGTTCAGTGTGGGAGAAACATGCCTGCTCCTTCAGTTGTTCTTGAGCCTTTCTCAGTTACCAGCTTTCTGAGTAGACATTGATGTGCAGTTGGTGATTGGCCTTTTCTGCCCAGTACTTACTCATAGGTTTTAATAGTATAAACAAGCAGGAATCTGGTGATGAACAGGTGTTAATTCATCAGAAGTTTTTTATTATCTGCTTTCTTCTTTTCTGTTTATTTGCCTATACTGCATTGGTAATATCAGAAGTATTATGCATAGTAGGGTTTTTTTTTTTTTTGAGACGGAGTTTCACTCTTGTTGTCCAGGCTGGAGTGTAGTGGCGTGATCTCAGCTCACTGCAACCTCCACTTCCCAAGTTCAAGTGATTCTCCTGCCTCAGCCTCCCGAGTAGCTGGGATTACAGGCACCCAGCACCATGCTCGGCTAATTTTTGTATTTTTAGTAGAGATGGAGTTTCACTATATTGGCCAGGCTGGTCTCGAACTCCTGACCTCGTGATCCACCCGCCTTGGCCTCCTAAAGTGCTGGGATTACAGATGTGAGCCACCGCGCCTGGCACACTAGTTTTTTTGTTTGTTTGTTTTTGAGACAGAGTCTTGCTCTATCACCCAGGCTGGAGTGCAGTGGCATGGTCTCAGCTCACCTCAAGCTCTGCCTCCTGGGTTCACGCCATTCTCCTGCCTCAGCCTCCCGAGTAGCTGGTATTACAGGCGCCCGTTGCCACGCCCAGCTGATTTTTTGTTTTTTTAGTAGAGATGGGGTTTCACCATGTTAGCCAGGGTGGTCTCGATCTCCTGACCTTGTGATCCGCCCGCCTCGGCCTCCCAAATTGCTGGGATTACAGGTGTGAGCCACTGCGTCTGGCCCTGGCACACTAGTTTTTTTAACAGCCTACTTGCTGAGGAATAAAGAACAAATCTGGTACCATTTAAATCGGGCAAGTGTTTAGTTCTTTAGGTAATTAGGTTGGTTACCTCTATTTTTGTCTGATTGACTCATTGTTTTAAACATTTCGGTTCAGTTTTATCTGGCAGACATTATATAGGAAAAAGGAAAGATTATGACACATTTCCTCTCTTTATGGTGTAAAATAACCAATCGTGCATGGTTTCCTGGGACTTTCCAGATTTTAGCTCTAAAAGGCTCACATGCGATGATTGAACACTGGAACTCAAAACTTTTGCAGGAGAAATAAATTACTCAGTTCAGTAAACTTTTATTAAGCTCAATTTTTTTTCCCTTTGAATTTGAGAGTATCTGGAAAGATATATCCTTGAGGAATGAATAAGAATTTATCTGAACAACTGATAGTGGGTGATCAAATTTCTAGGCAGAAGAAGCTGCATGCCACAAAAGCACATAAACATGAAAATAACACGTTATGTCTGGAAACCTGTAAACAGGTCAGTATTTCTAGAGTAAGAAGAGGGAAGCACATAATGGCCAAGAGATGAAGCTGGATAGTTACATGGAGCCCATTTATGGATCTTGTATGCCCCACTGAGGAACTTAAACTTTATCTGTATTTGACAAGGATCAGCATAACTTGAACCCAGGAGGTGGAGGTTGCAGTGAGGTGAGATCATTCCAGCCTGGGCGACAGAGCGAGACTCCATCTCAAAAAAAGAAATAATCTTAGACTGAGTCTAATCATTCTGTTGCCCAGGCTAGAGTTCAATGGCAGGATCTCACTGCAACCTCCAACTCCTGGCTTCAGGTGATGCTCTTGCCTCAGCCTCCTGAGTAGCTGGGATTACAGGTGTCCGCCACCATGCCCAGCTAATTTTTCTTTTTTTAGTAGGGATGGGGTTTCACCATATTGGCCAGGCTGGTCTTGAACTCCTGACCTCAAGTGATCTGCCTGCCTTAGCCTCCCAAAGTGCTGGTATTACAGGCGTGAGCCACTGTGTCCGGACAAAAGAGTATTTCTTTTTTTTTTTTTTTGAGAAGGAGTCTGGCTCTGTCACCCAGACTGGAGTGCAGTGGCGCGATCTCGGCTCACTGCAAGCTCTGCCTCCCAGGTTCCCACCATTCTCCTGCCTCAGCCTCCGCGAGTAGCTGGGACTACAGGTGCCCGCTACCATGCCTGGCTTATTTTTTGTATTTTTAGTAGAGATGGGGTTTCACTGTGTTAGCCAGGATGGTCTCGATCTCCTGACCTCGTGATCCGCCCATCTCGGCCTTCCAAAGTGCTGGGATTACAGGTGTGAGCCACCGCGCCCAGCCAAGAGTATTTCTTTATGTTGCTTTCTCTGACTCATAATTCCTAGTAAAGTTGGAGGTTGGTGACTCTCCATCTATAATAAATAATGCATAAAGAACTTCTGGCCTATAGTATAATATACTTTCTGCTGTTCCCTTTACTCCTCCATGAGGAGATGTCTCAAAGCAGGGAATAATTGCAGCTCCGTTTGGTGTCCTTTCTGGTGGGTAAGGCCCCTTTTTCTTCCTGACTTTCCAGAGTCAGAAAGCTGATGAGGTCCCAGACTAAATTGAATTTCCTCCTCAGGTTGCTAAGCAGGATACAGGAATCCCATGGTCTAGCCTCATCCATCCAGCCTCTTCCCTTACCCAGTTAGCTGTGTCTACTCAGACCTCTGGGTGAGACGGCCTGGAGAAAACAGTGAAGGGTTGTCAGCTGGGCAAGGAAAAGAGAACAGTTGGCAAGAGAGAGAGAGAAGACCAGAGTTGGATTCCTTGATGTTCATTATATTTTAATTACAAAGTATAAATGAGACCAAATCATTTTATATAGAAGAGAGACGCAGTCAGTCTTCTGTTTTGGAAAGGTCGCCAAATTATCACTTTATGCTCATAAACTGGAGGCAGAGAGACCCTCTAAGAACTTTGTAAGAAGTGGTCAGTGCTTGAAATAACCCAGACACTACTAGTAGGGATGGACTCAGTAGATCTGTAGACTTTGGTTGAATGAGTGAATGGTAGATAGTGAATTAGAGAAAGTAAGATCACTCACAGGTTTCTGACTTGAAAACTATCTAGATGGGTGGCACTACTAGCCAATACAAGGAAGACGGAAGAGTAGGATGGATGGGGTAACAGGCAAATCTCTTTTGGATATGTCTTTTATATATCCAGGGTAGTGATATTTAATAACATATGGTCATTTGGGAATTCCAAACTACCAGTACAGATTTGGTAGTTACCAAACATAGGAAATATGTCAGAAATGTCACCCAAGAGAAATTGTCAGAGAGATAGGAAGAAAATAAGGAAAATATGAATGCAGGATAGGCAAGTTTAAGAAGGGAGTGATCATTGATGTCAGATGATGCAGGCAAATTATAAGAGAATCTGAAAATTAAAAGGTCAGTAGTGATATTAGTGTGGAGTAAGGGGATGAGTAGCACAATTAATGAGAAGGTAGTGGTAGGGGGTGTCTTTAATTTTTAATTTTAAGGATGGCAGATATTTGAATATATTTAAATGCTAAGGGGAGGCCAACGTGGTGGCTCACGTGTGAAATCTTAACACTATGGGAGGCTTTGAGCTGGGCAGGTCACTTGATGCTAGGAGTTCGAGACCAGCCTGGCCAACATAGCAAAACTCTGTCTCTACTAAAACTACTAAAATTAGCTGAGCTTGGTGGTGCACGCCTCTAATCCCATCCCAGGCCCAGGAGGCCAAGGCATGAGAATTGCTTGAACCTGGGACGCAGAGATTGCACCACTGCACTCCAGCCTGGGTGACAGAGCAATACTCTGTCGCAAAAAAAAAAAAAAAAAAATGCTAAGGAGAGAGAATATCTGTACAAAGGGAGCAGTTAAAGATTTGGGGGCTGGGCGCAGTGGCTCACGCCTGTAATCCCAGCACTTTGGGAGGCCGAGGTGGGCGGATCATGAGGTCAGGAGATCGAGATCATCTTGCTCAACATAGTAAAGCCCTGTCTCTACTAAAATACAAAAAATTAGCTGGGTGTGGTGGCACGTGACTGTAATCCCAGCTACTTGGGAGGCTGAGGCAGGGGAATCACTTGAACCTGGGAGACGGAGGTTGCAGTGAGTTGAGATCGCGCCACTGCACTCCAGCCTGGCAACAGAGCAAGACTCCGTCTCGGAAAAAAAAAAAAAGGCCGGGTGTGGTGGCTCACACCTGTAATCCCAGCACTTTGGGAGGCCAAGGTGGGCGGATCACGAGGTCAAGAGATCGAGACCATCCTGGCCAACATGGTGAAACCCCATCTCTACTGAAAATAGAAAACTAACTGGATATGGAGGCACATACCTGTAGTCCCAGCTACTCAGGAGGTTGAGGCAGGAGAACCGTTTGAACCTGGAAGGCGGAGGTTGCAGTGAGCTGAGATTGCGCCACCGCACTCCACCCTGGTGACAGAGCGAGATTCCGTCTCAAAAAAAATAAATAAATAAAAAATAAAAAAGATTTGGCAAAGAACCAAAATAATTTAAAGGAGCAAGGTTCTAGAATAGATGGGATCGAGGCCACAGGTGGAGGGATTGATTACCCTTGGTCAAGAAAAGAGATTGACATACTTTTTATATATTGTTGAACCTTGAACAACGCGGGTTTCAACTGTGGCATGTCCACTTATACACAGATTTTTATCCAACCAAAGACGAATAAAAAACAATGTTTGCAGTATATAAAACTTGTGTATATGGAGTACCAGTGTTTCATATATGCTGTTTCTGTAAAACCTACTACAGGACTTGAGTTTGCTTGAATTTTGGTATATATGGGAGTCTTGGAACCAATTCCGTAGATATACTGAGGGATAACTAATTAAAAGGAAAGAGGAAAGTAAGATTATAGATGGAAGTAGGTTTACTGGAAAAAGGTAGGATGTTAAGTACCTCTCACCTAATGACTTTAATTTTTTCACTGAAAAAGGTCATTTATTAAGTAAGTGTAAGAGGGTAGGGGATGGATTAGAGCGTTAAGGAGAATGCCAAAGGTCTGTAATGACAGCCATGCTGAATGGAAGTTGCTGATTACAGGCAAGTAAAAGGACTAATCAGTAGCATTCAGGAATTAACAGAGAGAGGAAGTCACACATTTTGCAGTGGCACCATACAATATGATTATATGATTTTTTATTTTTATTTTTTTTGAGATGGAGTCTCACTCTGTCACCCAGGCTGGAGTGCAGTGGCGCTATCTCGGCTCACGGCAACCTCTGCCTCCCGGGTTCAAGCAGTTCTCCTGCCTCCGCCTCCCGAGTAGTTGGGACTACAGGCGCGTGCCACCACACCTGGCTAATTTTTGTATTTATAGAGACGGGGTTTCACCATGTTGGCCAGGCTGGGTCTCAAACCTCTGACCTCAAGTGATCCACCCACCTCAGCCTCCTAAAGTGCTAGGATTACAGGTGTGAGCCACCACGCCCGGCCAGTTATATGATTTTTATTCTTTGCACTTGTGTTCAGCTCTCTAGGTAGAACAGAAAAGGCAAATTTTCTAATGATCCTGAATTAGGGACTTATGGATTAGCTATATCACAAGCTAAGGGAACCAGGAAGACAGTAGTTTGGTTAATTAACCAAGGGGTCCAGGCAGGCAAGGGAAGGAAGTATTATGTGAGAGAGGGCTGAACTGGGAGTGAGTGGAGGCACTGTGTACTTGAAGGTCTTGTCAAAAGGCAAAAATGTTAAACCATGGTCTGAGAAAGAATTCTCCACATATTTCTGTATTCATCTTATTCCTTTGAGACAGGACAAACAATATGATGGCACTTCTTTTGTATTTTATTTTTATTTATTTATTTATTTTGTATTTTATTTTTTGAGATGGAGCCTCGCCGTGTCACCCAGGCTGGAGTGCAGTGGCACAATCTCGGCTCACTGCAACCTCGGCCTCCCGGGTTCAAGCGATTCTCCCGCCTCAGCCTCCCAAGTGGCTAGGACTACAGGTGTCCACTGCCACGCCCATCTGATTTTTGTATTTTTAGTAGAGACGGGGGTTTCACCAGGCTGGTCTCAAACTCCTGACTTAAATGATCCGCCTGCCTTGGTCTCCCAAAGTGTTGGGACTACAGGCGTGAGCCACTGCACCCAGCCTGTTCTATTTTATATTGCAAAAAGTTACCAATACTTCCACACTTCATAGTGAGTCATCTTAATGGTTTAGTTGAAAGGAAAAGCAGGAGTCAGTAAAAGTGCTATCAGCGGCCTGGCGTGGTGGCTTATGCCTGTAATCCCAGCACTTTGGGAGGCCAAGGCAGGTGGATCACCTGAGGTAGGGAGTTCAAGACCAGCCTGACCAACATGGAGAAACACCATCTCTACTAAAAATACAAAATTAGCCATGAGTGGTGGTGCATACCTATAATCCCAGCCATTCGGGAGGCAGAGGTTGCAAGTGAGCCGAGATAGTGCCATTGCACTCCAGCCTGGGCAACAAGAGTGAAACTCAGTCTTTTTTTTTTTTTTTTTTTTTAAAGTGCTATCAACAGGTTCTATAGCAGACTAAATTCATTTAATAAACATTTATTTAGTACCTAGTATGAGCCAGGCAGGAGATATGTTAGATGCTGGTGATATTCAGGTCTACCCTGATTTCTGTAACTATATATCCATTTCCATTTTAACTTTCAGTCATACTATGTGCCTTGAATCTTGAATCGTTTCAGGCTTTCAGAGTAAGGATGCCAAGTAATTTGAGGAATCATCTTTGTCTCAATATAAGTTAACTATTTTCTTTCTGCTTTTCTCACAATTTGCTTATAAATTGAACTTAATGTAATGGTGTTTGGAGCAAATGGATAAGGTACCTTTAACTTGACTAGGAATAAGCATTGATTTAATGTAGAAGTTTGTTGCTGGTAGTTACCTTGTTTTAATATTGTCCCATGTTCATATCTTGGGGAGCACCTCTTGGCCTTTTTTCTGTACTACATATTGAGTATCCCCTGTGCTTGAGACAAGAATTCTTTTGGATTTCAGATTTTTTTAGATTTTGGAATATTTACATTATATTTACTGGTTCTGAACATCCCAAATCTGAAATGTTCCAGTGAGTATATCCTTTGAGTATCATGTTGGCACTCAAAAAGTTTCAGATTTTGCTTCAGACAGAGATGGGGGGAAAGGGTTCTGAAAAATTTTGGATTTCAGATTTTTGGATTTGGATGCGCAATCTGTATCTCATTTTTTTGCCTGATCTGAGCTATTAGACACCTACACCAGCTTCCTGTAAGAGAGTGAGCTGGCTTTTCATGCCCTAAGAGGTAGGAAGGCTGTAAATATGACTAAGGAGGTTACATGAATTTAGATAATTATCATTAATCCAAAGTAGTCAATAAATAGTTGTTGGGTTTTTTTGCATTGTCCACCCCCTCCAATGAATGAATAGTTTTTAAATAGATTCCCAACATTTTGCCTTGCAGTTTTCAAAATTATTCCTTCATGCAGGAGGAGAGAGAGCATCAGGAAAAATAGCTAATGCTTGCTGGGCTTAATACTTTGGTGATGGGTCAAGAGGTGCAGCAAACCACCATGGAACACATTTACCTGTGTAACAAACCTGCACATGTACTCTGGAACTTAAAAAAAAAAAAAAATTCCTTTATATCACTGTCAAGGATAGAATACTGAGCAGAGGCCAGTCATGGTGGCCCATGCCTGTACTTCCAGCCCTTTGGGAGGCTGAGGAGGGAGGATCACTTGAGCACAGGAATTTAAGACCAGTCTGGGCAACACAGGGGAACTCTGTCTCTACAAAAAAATAAAATAATTAGCTGAGCATATTGGTGCATGCCTGTAGTCCCAGCTACTCGGGAGGCTGAGGCTAGAGAATCACTTGAACCCGGGAGATCATCAAGGCTGCAGTGAGCCACAGTTGCACCACTGCACTCCAGCCTGGGTGACAGAGTGAGACTCTGTCTCAAAAAAA